CGGACTATTCACCAACCAAAACCAGCCTGTCTCTGTCTTCACTGACCCTTCACTGTATTACATTTCTGAGCTTTGATTTTAACTTGTTCAGGATCCACTGTGCATTTAATATGTCTGGAAGATAGCACAGATTGATGCACAGACCGACGACTCTTAAAAAAAGGGGTTTTTTTGTTTCATTGCCTGCCCACCCCTCCCCCCCTCCAAAAAAGAAAACACTCGCCCCAGTCCAGTCACTGAATATTTCGAACACACCATGACACACCCATCCACCCAGCTCCACCTCCTCCCCCGGTGGATATAATGCCCTAGAAATGAACGAAACGAATGCCTTCGGGAAGTTGAGACATTTCTGCCGGGAAAAGAATGGATATAAATTTGCAAGACACAGAAAACGTGTTTAAAAAATGCCTATTTGATGCCGTTGTGGTATGTAATGAACCAGTAAAACCACAATTTTTCTACAGACCCACAAGAATAAATTATGCAATGCCTTGTAAGCATATTTACTGCAGTGTATATTTCAGTTGACCTTTAAGGGATGGTTTCACGGTTCGGCGCATTTCTATATCATTATTTTATTCGCCAGTGCACGCTTTTTGCAACAGGCCCAGTTTTTCATTGTTTATGAAACAATCGTAAGCAAATTACCTAATTTCCTGTGCAAATAGTTGTAAAATCATCAACCGTAGAATAAATGGTACGGGTCAGAACTAAATTCAACGGTCGACAGCGTCGATAAAAGCCACTGAAATCTTCTGAGAATTTTGGTCATCCCCCATTCTTCATCGACTAACCATGGCATGTGACTACTGATCTACATCTGAGTAGGGTTTAAAACGATAACATTGATAAGATGCGAACAAAAGTATCATGATTTAGAGACATGCGCCGAACCGTGAAACCCTCCCTTCAAACGCTTCCATTGCCGATGTATATTTACGCGAATTTTATTCTTGAAGGCTCATTCGATTCACGCCCCCTGAGAGAGAAGCGAAAAAGGAAAATCCAAACCAGCGACAATCGTTGATCGCGGACCAGTTGTTAAGGTAGCTTACAATTCATCCACTGCAATACCTTACTGTTTTGTAGCGATATGGGAAAAAATAAAGATAAAATGACTATATTGTTATTACTATTAAATACGTTGTTATCTACTTTTAAATACGTATTATCAAACATTTCAGACTGCTTATACTTTAACCTTGATTTACACGAGTAAAAAAAGTAAACAAAAACGCCTTATTGCAACGATTCTCGATGTTTTATCATTGTTATTTCTGGTGTCATCAATTTACGGGGATTTTACCATATTTTCTTCCCAATCCCTCAAGCGTCTTGTATTGAAAAACGACTTCTAGACTTAAATACCATCACCCCACCTCGAGACAGAGCTCAAACAAAGTTCAGTCGATCACTGATATTAACAAACTATTTATTTACAAAGAACAAGGCTTCTTATAGACACAAAAGCAAAACGCAAAAACTCGACAGCACAACAATCTCTGTAGTAAACCTCAGTCACTATTAACTAATTGAATAAATGTTATTTTAATGGTTCAAAATGTTTGCAATGGTTTCTTGTCTTAAAATATTCTAACAAGAGATTTTCAGTAAGGTTTCGAAAAATTCAACACTAAAGCTATATCAGCAGTTACTTGTGAACTCTGTCTACCCAGCTTAAAACGATTCCTTAGGATTTCTTCTTTGTCTCTATTGTTCTAATAGTTTAATTCAAGATTTGGTTTTTGGTGCTTCAGATTTCTAAGACATTACCTACCGGCATCGGTGATCTGACTGCTCCACAGGAATA